TATGAAATTTGTCTAGTGACTTATAATGTTAAATATTTTTTTAACAATTATAATTAATATAATATTTATATGATAATTTTTCTTATTTAAATTTTATTAAATTTACTAATAATAAAATTAATATTTATAAATTTTTATATAATTTTATCTAATTTATATATTTAAATAATAAAGAATATATATTATATATTTTTAATAAAATTTATTAATATTAAAATAATTATATTTTATTTAAATTTAAATTATTTAAACTAAAAATCATTTTTTTAATTATAAGTTTTTATATTTTATATAAGATTTAAAATTAATTAAAAAAAAAAAAATTAATTAGAATAAAATAATTTAAATATAAATACTATTTTTGTTACTAAATAATTTAAAGATAGAAAATTTTTTATATTATATTTTTATATACTATAAAAATTAAATTTTATTTAAGATATATTATAAATTTATAATATGGAATCTTTTGCAATAGAAAAGGCAGAGATATCAAATTTTTTTTTATATGCCAATATGATTGGTCAAAATATGTATTAATTGTTTGAAACGTAAGCGTAGGACACTTTCGGTTAGAGCCGAGTGGTGTCTGTCCCACACGTGACCTACCAAATAAGTATAGTATTTTCCCGATTACCTAGTTATATTAATATTAAACTTTACTTTTTATATTAATAGAAATTTATGAAAATACTTAGTAAAATTGCCATATATTTCGAACTTAAGAATAATTAACTGTACAAGTTACTAAATCAGGTTATAATATAATAAAGGTATGTTGTGAACGAAAACTGATTACGCACGGAGGCCGTGAACTTGAAACCATCCTCGTGTGTTTCTCTAACGTAAGCACCATCCTTTTCGTAAGATTGATCACTTTGGGATTACATGATAAACACATAAACTTGCTTACTTTGCTGATTAAAATAAACAAAAAATTTGTGTACCATCAGTGATCAATAATAATACTACATGAAAAAGGATCTGTGCGCACAATAAAGATATATGCAATAATATTAGTTAGGCCCGTGAAATTTGGATCCGTGGTCTCGGAGATATTACGCTTTTTATACTAAATCGATTATTTGATGTAACGAAAACGTGTAATAATTCGGTTTTAATGTTTATCATTATAATGACCATAAATTTACATTGATTAAGGAAAGAATCATTATTAAAAAAACATTTTTTTTTTTTAATTCACATGACTTAATTTCTTTGTGAGATCCTAGATAACGGAATTTTTGATCATATGAAATGTTTAAATAATACGTTTTGTCAATCTATCTTGTAAATCGAGAATCCAAATTTCCAAATTTCTTTTTAGATTGACAATCGTCTTACACAAAGCGGGTAATTGCGTCAAAAATTGTCCGACATTTTATTGGATACGATGAGAATATTACCGAAATTGGTTTTATTTTTTTGTGATCCACACTTTACACAACAAATATATGTAAAGGTTCATTCGTTGGGCTCTAAAAAGTATTAAAGTATGAATATCCAAAAGATTTTCAGAATTTCATGTACTCCATCAAGTTGGTCGATTCCCATCGCACGCCAAAGTTCAAATAAGATCGTGAGACAAACTTTAAAAATTCCTTACAAGAAAAAATAATTATGTTTTTTTGATTGGAGCTTAGAAGTACACAATTTAATTTATAAGATTATGTAAAATTTAAAGTTTTATTTCGGAATTAGATTAGCTAAAATTGTCATAAATCCCGAAAGTTTATAAATATAAAAAAAAATTATGGACATGGCAGTTCATTTATCACAAAGTAATCTCCAAAAAGTTTTTCATTTTCAAATATGGTCCGTCTTTTAAATAATTTCACTCGCGTGTGTAAAATAACTGAAGAAGGAGAAGAACTTTGTGCATGTGATTACCGAATCAACCTATATGATTGTCCACAAAGTGAATTTTATGTTTTAGTGGGAAAGATATTGATAGGGTTTTGTACATTGGCAACAATAATGTCTGGCGGATTTTTATTCTACCTTATCAAAATTAAGAAGCAACCGTTCTTCTTGAATGGCAGCAGAGGAAGAGGATGGTTGAGGCCTAGACCTTTACATTCTTATCATTTGATAGTGTTTACTTATATGCTTTGTAAGTATACCTTTTTTTTTGTTTGCATACTTTGATGGAAGATGACCAAAAAAAAAAAAAAAATCTAATATAAATAAATCTAATTTCAGTCGAAGGGCTTCATTTAATATTGTTGGTAAATGAATCATATCCCAGCATCATAGCAGCTGAAAGTAATTATTTTTGGGGGTTGAAGTTTTTCAATTTGCGCAATTAACTAACTAAAAAACTTTTACCATAGTTGGTAATGTTTTGATAAATTTATGTACGGGGGCTGTTTCTGTATTTTACCCCGTTAGTATAGGTAATATTCAAAGCTCTCAATAAACGATTCTTGACTTTTCTTTCGTTTCACTAACTTTTGTTTTACAACGTTTCCCTTCAGTTTATTCCACACCAAACATACGATTCGAAAATGAACCGTCGAATCTCAGAAACTTAAACGAAACAAATCCACGTATGGTTGACATCATTGGAATTATATTATTTATACAACCGATAATCTCGTGGTTGCCTTTGGCCTCAATAACGGGATATTACGCCGAATTAAATGATATAAAGATGGCAAACATTTTATTTATGGCATATTACCTTGCTTATGTACTTTGGGAAATTGCGTATATTGTGATATTAGCATATTTTTGGTTCAAGCTAATGTCTATAATCAAACATCATCTTAAAATACTAGAACAACATGATCCTAATAGTAAACAGGTCAGAGGTATCAAACAAGGCACCAAAAATGTAAGTAATTAAAAAATTTTTTTTTTTTTTTTTTTAAATAGTGCGAATTAAAATGTATTTTCTTTATTAATTTTTATTTAGTTAACCATACCTGTTATGGCGATATTTTTTGGATTATTATTTCAGTCGATGATATATGTCGTTATAAGTTTAACATATCGAAATAATACAATTTTTTATTTTGGATATAATTTATGTTTTTATTGGATGGAATTTGTTGCTTTCCCATTATTGGGAATAGGTATTGAAAGTGCTTTGATTTACAAGTAAGCGTTTCATTTTATCGTAAATCTATTATTTATTTATTTTTTTTTTCTTTTATATCTGTTAATGATTATTTTCCTTTTTTTTTTTTTTTAATAAAAAAATTAGTGCATTCATGAATACAAGAAAGCCACAAAACTCTTCTAGTTTAATTTCATCATCATCGAAAACTATTTCGAATAGTAATATTAGTACGGATGATCATTTTAGTAGTACAACAAGAGCTAATCCAACAGTTATTCATTGCACTTCTGAAACCATTGAAATTAAAACATCCCTTTAGTCAAAATAAATATCAGAAAATAAGAAATAAAAATAACTTTTATAGATCAACCATTATTTCATGTCTTTTTTACGAATAAAAAAAGCACCATATTTTTTTAGTAGGGATGTTAAACGGTCCTAAAAGTCCCAAGAAAATTATATTTACAAATTTATTATGAAACTTGTCTATTATAATGTTTTAATGAGCTACTTAAATAATAAACCCTCTTGGAATTCCAGAATTTCTTAAAATTTAAAATTTTAGGATATAGGACCGGGTCTCTATAGGGCCGGTCCTATCAAAATTGCTTTTTACAAATTAATTATGGCATTTTATTGATTGGAGATAAGTGATTAGACTTCTCTAAAGTTAGTAATCTCTTAAATCGTAAGGACCGGTTAAAGGACCGATTAACATACCTAATTTTTAACATCAAATAAAACAATAATTATTTAATAAAAAAATGTATTGATCGGAAATTAGCGATCGAACTTTAATTAAAAAAAAGATTTGCAAAACCAATTATTTTTCATTTTAGATTGCTTATCATCATCATCAATGTAACAAAACAAAAATGTCGCTTTTAACATGCCAGAAATCAATTGTTTGTATGGTCGACCGTCTGAAAAATACGAAGAAATTGATTTTATATAAAATCCTTTGCCTACATGTACATGTTACACGGCGTTTTGATTTGTTTTTTGAGTTTTTTGATGAAACACACACCAATTTGCGTCAGATTTTCACGATGTTCCTTTTGTCGGAGATATTACGCTTTAAAGTTTAAGATATTTATAATAATTAGGTAAGGTCAAAGCTCATATTGTTGTGTAATAATTATAACCAATTATAAAGGTGTATTTCATATTTTACACACGGGACAGTTCCCCTTATATCAACTATCATAAATTTGATGTCTATATCTATAAACTTGTAAACACAGCCTCGGAAGCCCTCTTTTTTTTCATAGAAATATTGCAGAATATAACCTTGTTTCATTCGGATATCTTACGATATATCCTGTAAGGTGACTCAAAAATGTGTGCAATCATTTATTAAATTTTGTTTATTCTTTTTTGAATTCTTTACAGCTTGTGTCATTAAGTTTCAACCGTTTAACTGCATGCTTCAATCATTATAATAATAATAGTAATATTTAGTGCGTTGTAATTATGTAAATTTCCATAATAATGAAATCGATTTTTGAAACTGATCGAGGAAAACGAAAAATACCAAAAGAGCAAAAGCCGAGCCGTCGAGGAAATAAAATTAAATTGCGTAAAAATGTTTTTGGCATTTTTATTGGATGAAGATCATTTCCAAAAAAAAAAAAAAATGTCTATACCCAAAAAGTGATTTTGTTATATTAATATTTCGTTGGATTGATTGGGTATGCAATTTAATTTATAAGATTATGTAAAAGGTTTAGCTAAAATGGTCAGAAATCCCCGACGTTTCTTTTCAGTATATAGTATAAAAATAATTTACATTCGAGTATTCGGGCTTTGTTCGATTTTTTTGTAAAAGTTTTTCTTCCATTTAAATAACATTCCTTTTCATTTCTCAAGTATCATCTCTCATTTTTTTTTCAATATGGTCCGCCTTTTAAACAATTTCACTCGTTTATGCAAGACAACAGACGCAGGAGAAGAAATTTGTTCATGTGATTATCGTATAAACCTATATGATTGTCCACATAGTGAATTTTATGTTTTTGGGGGAAAGATGTTGATACCAATATGTATATTGGTAACGATAATGTCTGGAGGATTTTTATTCTACCTTATCAAGATTAAGAAGCAACCGTTCTTCTTGAATGCCGCACAAGAAAGAGGATGGTTGAGGCCTAGACCTTTGCATACTTATCACTTGATAGTGTTTGCTTATATGTTTTGTAAGTATACTTTGATGACAAGATATTTATTTCACCTTTGAACAAAAAATCTAATATGCGATTAAATTGAAATTTTAGTCGAAGGACTTCATTTGATATTTTTGGTAAATGAATTATATCCTAATATGATAGCAGCTGAAAGTGAGCAAAATTTTTTTTTTCTTTTTTTTTGAAGTTCGTGTAACATGCGATTAAAAAAGAATTAAACCTTTTCCATAGTTGGCAATGTGATGGCAGATTCCACTTCGGCAGCCGTGGCAACATTATATCCCGTTAGTATAGGTAAGATATATTATTTCTTGCGAATCATTTCATTATTTCATTAATTTAATATCATAACTTGTTTCAACAGTTTATTCCACACCAAACGTACGAACTGATAATAGGAATTCGAACGTTAAAAATTTTAATTATGTTGGACCAAACTCACTTGTAGTTGACATCGTTGGAATTTTATTATTTTTTGAACCATTAGTCACGTTGATCCCTTTGGCCTCATTAGCTGGACATTACGCTGAAATGAATGAAGTTAAATTGGCAAATACTTACTATGTTGCACATTACCTTGCTTGGGTAGCTTGGGAAATTACATACCTTACAGTATTAGCATATTACTGGTACAGGTTAACATCTATAATCAAAGAACATATCAAAGTATTAGAAGAACGTGAAGCTTCCGGGGTTGCTAGTAACAGTCATATCGAACATATCAAACGAGGTACCAGAAATGTATGTATCAAAAATAAAAAATAAATTTTCTTTTTAAAATTTGATGATGAATTAAATTTTTTTTTTTTGTTCTTAATAATTTTATTTAGCTAACTATACCGGTTATGGCGATAGTTTTTGGATTATTATTTCAGGCGATTATATATGTCTTTATGAGTTTAACGCATAGAAGCAATACAGTTTATTATTTTGGATGGAATTTATTTTATTATTGGATTGGATATGTTGCTTTCCCATTACTGGGTTTCAGTGTTGAAAGTGCTTTGATTTATCTGTAAGTGTTCATGTAAAAAAAAAAAACAATGAGAATTTCGTATCATAATTTAATTATTATTATTATTTTTTAACAGTGTGATAAAGAATTTAAGGAAGCCAGCAGGCTCTTCTAATAAATCAACATCTTCATCTTCATCACAATCTCACTTAAACTCGAAAACACTCATCAGTATGGATAATCAAGCAATTAATAATACAAATAGGAAATTGAATATTACTGTCAACAAAGGTACTACTGCGACGGTTATTCAACGCACTTCTGAAATTACTGAAATTAGTGTAGTCGAAGATAAAGAAATACCTTGAAATTAAATATTTTTTTTTTTTTTTTTTTTTTGTTATGGTAGAGTCATTAATTAATGATTGATTAAAAAAGAATTGGGACATTAATAGATGTAAATTAAAAATTGCCTCGTAGTTTAGACTTACAATAGATAATGAAAGACCTATCGCATTATTATCCTTGAACCTTTGATTCAAATTTATTAATAATCGTCATCGGAAGATGAAGAAATTTGTTTTTATTTAAAAAAAAATGTGCCCAATATTTTTTTTGGGGTAATGATATCTACCCATTGATATATTGATAGCTATTTGTTTTCCGATTAAATTGTTTACATTTTCTGCGCAATTAAATTTACCAAGGTAGTTTTTTCTGATCCTTGAATGCAAAGAAAAAATCGTTTTTCTAGAGAAAGACGATATCCAATTCGAAAAAAAAAAAAATTCATATATTGTTAAAGACCGTAGCCCCTTATCTTTATTCAAAATTTCACAAGTTTTTATTAATTTTCAAATTAAAAAAATCATATAAACTTAAACATTTCCTTCCAATATATTTTTTTTTTTTAAAAAAAAAAAAGAATGTTATAACGATTTAATGAATGCAACTTTGAAAAATAAAATCTGGGACTAGACGAAATTTATTGAACGTAACCTTTCTTTATTTGTTAACGAGAAAAAAACTTGTGAGATAATATAAATTTAGATTATATATACGGCATAACATCATAAATTCTACAAGTAATGAAAAAAATTTTGTATCATCCGTATAGATGGGAATATTGTTTCTCCTTTTAATTCAATCTTATCCATAAGAACATCACCTAAAATTGGTGATTGTTCCATCAACAACAATAGAAGCTAGTGAATCAGCAATGCTTCCTTTGGTTAAACCAGTCATGCGCCTAACTTTAAATACGAGCTCTTTAGGAATAATTGAACTAACATCTTTGATGTCACCAGAAATTTTAATAGGCACAAGGGAACGATCTCTAAATATTATATCATGTATGGCGAAACCTTTTGGATTTATGTAGCGTTTCCTATCAGGGTTATTGACTAAGGCTATAACAGCATCAACTCCATAAGATTTATTGTTAATTTCATAATTACCGCGTTTACCCTTTACAAATATACCGAGTTCTCTCCAACCGTTTTTATCTTGTCGGATTATAGATGCCTGCCGAAACCTCTTCAAAATAATTTCGTCACCCTTTTCTATGTTTTTAATATAGTTTCGACAGTTTCGGCTTTCGTCGTATCGAAAGAGTTTCGTCGTATCCCTTATTATGATATTAATATAGTTTCGTCTATGTTTCGATTGTTATTAAGAGGTTCGTCCCTCATCTTTATGTCGGATCTATTTTCAATTTCTTCTTTATTTTTATTTACATACTGTGCTTTTTCTAATAGATATTTTTCTCCTTCTATTTTCCTTTTAGTAGCGCCTTCATAATCACTATAAGCTGGCTGTCTAACACTGCTTTTCATCTCAGAACCACACTTTAGACGAAGAACGTGATCGTTGCTCAAAAAATAGATGTTATTACTTGAATTATTTTTATTTTCTACAAAAGCTCTTAAAGTTCCAACTTGAGTATTGCAAGAAGTAATTCCAATACTACAACCAGGAGAAACACCTGTCTTATACTCTCGGCAACGTGGATTCCACATGATTATAAAAACCCTCACGCACGTCCGTTTCTATACCACAAATGCTCCGAGAAAAAATTTCGGAATTACACCTTTTACGTATAACGTAGAAAACAATAGCTGACGTATTCGTATAAATCCCTCTAGATACTTTCCAGTCTAAACCAGTGATAAGGTCATTTACTATTTTTTTTAAATAACCTTTGGTCATTTGACTTGAAATTTATAATAAAAATGATGTCATTTGAGGTCATTTAAGGTCATTTAGAGGTCATTTGCCAACACTGCTGTCAAGATCAAGATAATTTGCTCCAGCTCTTTTACCGACTGGTTTCTGTCAATATCAACCTTGAAAAGCAAGGATACTGTTCTGGAAGAGGCAGTTTAAAATGATTTTCGACTCACTCCTGTATTATTAACAAAAGTCAACAAAGAATTTTGTCGATCAAATGTCATTTGCCATGATCGACATGGCGCTTGATCTATATAAAGTTATCATGTGTTACAAAGATGAAACGAAAATTTTCATTTATTTGTTTACTTAGTATGAGCCAACAAAAGAAACCGCATGGATTCGATGGCAAGTACACGTTTTCTGAAACAGATGTGACTTTCTACATTCACTCACAATACAATATCAAATTTTCAGTTTTTAGGTTATATTTCGTGTGAGCATCAAAGGAAAAAGTTATCCCTTCTTTCTCAGAATTCATTTGTTCAAATGTTGACTTCATAGCCAGATCATCTACTCAAACGAGTAACTTCCAAGGACTGGAGGGAGCATGGACGAAGCGTTTCAATTTAAGTGCAAAAATACTGAATATAGAGGGAAGTATATTTCAATTAAATTTGATAAAAAATATTCAGTAATGTTGAGGAGCTTTAGTTGGGTTTACTGACTGTGGTTTTTTAGATTCCCAACATTGCAAACATAGTAGTGTTAGGGAGCTTCAGTTGGGCTTACTGGCTGCGGTTTTTTAGATTCCTAACATTGCAAACATAGTAATGTTGGGGAGCTTCAGTTGGACTTACTGACTGCGGTTTTTTAGATTCTCAACATTGCAAACATAGTAGTGTTAGGAAGCTTTAGTTAGGCTTACTGGCTGCAGTTTTTTAGATTCCTAACATTGCAAATATAATAGTATTGGGAAGCTTCAGTTGGGCTTTACTGACTGCGATTTTTTAGATTCCCAACACTACACATTATCTCTCATAATTGTGCATCACATCTTTCGTCCTAATAATTAACAATTTTTTCAAATTATGAAAATATAGGTGATTATTGACAAAGCAGATTGTTCTTGTATTGCTGAAAAATAGCATATGGTAGGTTACAAACATATGGGCTTTTTTTCTCAATCAACCTTGTTATAATTTAACATGCTATATATGTCAGTTCCAAATTTCAGAGAATTGTCGCGAAAAAACCTATACTATGTATTCGAAGGAGAATAAAAATGTTGGAAATAAGTTATTGGAAGATCAAATAAAATCAGAACTTGATGTATTGATGCAAAAAATATCTGCATTTCTTGACTTACGAAGCAATTTCTAGATGTTGCAAAAGAGAGCCCTTTAAAACGGTTGGCAAAGGTTAGTAGTGTAGTGTGTATTAAAATCTGATGAGAATTTGTTCATTTTAATTTTACAAATTCTCGTTTCTAGCAAGTAGTAAAAGATGATTCCAACAATTCTCCTATTGTATCTAAGACTCTTGATAAGAATGAACTTATTTTACTTAAAACGCCTGATGAAAATATTTCAAATATTTCAGATGAATCCTATCATCCAATTTCAAATGATCCAGATGATGATATCTTTATTGAAATAAAAAAGAGAATCAATTATACTTATAATTAGTTTACGGGATCAGGTATTATGAAATATTCATTAAGTGAAAATGCAAGTAAGGTAACGCTTAAACTTTATTTAGGTTTATTTACAAAAGTTTTCAATTTATCCTTATATACGTAGTGGATCTTTGACACACTTGATGTCTCGAGTTTATTATTAGAATATCATGATATGTCTGTTCAATAAGCTTTAGAGAATAAGATTGAAGAGCCTGCAGAAGTACTGTAAGTTTTAAACTTCTAAATCTTTCATGCTTATTTATTTTTAACTTTTTTATTATTCTTTTCCCATAATTATTTTAGATCTTTAAACCATATATTTTTATTTGAGAAAAATGTTTCAACTGGGATTCCAAAAATGATTGAACCTGAATTTATAAAAAATATTTTTGACAATATTAAAAATGAATTTACTTCTTATAAACTGTCAGATAATAATATTTTACGTTGTCACAAAATAACAAAAGTATATTCTTTTTTATGTAAATTTTAATACGCAATTATTTATTGTATTAATAGCATGTTTATTTTTTAGATGGCAAATAAAAAATTTTGGAAAATATAAATTATTAATAAAAAAATGGCAAAAAGAGCTAGAAGATGATCAAGAAGATTTAATTATAGAACATTCAAATCGATGTGAGTATTTGCAAGACCTAAAATATTATGCTATCACTTATACTATTTATATATTATATATATTATATAATATTATTAATAACTTTAAACCAGAAATATATCGGGAAGGTTTAAAAGAAGATAATTAGAACTTTTTTCAAAATATCAATTTTAAACGCGAATGGTAATTTTTAAACGTGACTCTTTCTTTATCTTATGTTGTAATTATAATGATTTATTAAAATATTATTGTGTTATTTTCAGGTCAACTGATGTTTTGGAGCATCTGTACATCAAAAACGTAAATTTGACCCTTCACTGCAAGGAAGAAAAGCTGATTTTTTCATATACAGTGACTTTTATAATTATTGTACCACTTCATTTTTAATTTTTAGATTATGATACCTGAATAATTATGTGACTATAAGACTAAAATTTTAAACCAATTTAAAGCATGTAATCAGATTTTAAATATATTTAAATTTGAGTATTACTTAATTTGTGACTTTTTAAAAAATTTCTTTATATGCAATTTTTTCATGATATAATACTTTTGGAATCAAAATTAATATAATAAAGTTATAATCGTGTGACGCGTCTTATACATATAAGTAAATTTAAATTAGTAGATCAATTTGTATGCCTTTCTTTTGTTTTTTTTTTAAAAAAAAATATATTATGAAGGCGATTCCACTTTACCAAAGGGAACGTATTTTTACCCTTATCCAAGAAGGTTTACCAAGTCATACAATTGCTTCTTGCGAAAATATAAGTCATGCTTCTGTAATAAGAATTAAACAAAGAAAAGAAGAAACAGGCAGCTTTGATGTTATTCCA